TGAGGGTGAGTAATTAAACATCCAATTTTCATTTTTGAGTGAACTATCCCTTTAAGAAAAAAAAAAAAAAACATTGATCAATTTTAAAGCAAGACACCACAAGCAGAATCATTGCTTTTTTAATCAACTGATCAACTTGAAGATTTTGGCCTATTTTGCTTCCATAACATGCCTTCTTTCAGACTTTTGTATTGTGGATGTTTTTGTATTCTATCCATATTTAATATCATTCATATTTATTTTATTACACTATTGATTTGTGTCTGTAAATTGCAATTACGACACATATATTTAATGTCAGTTTTTTCAAAACAATTTTCTCATGCACTAAAACAAGAAATCTCCACTTCAGTAGCACTTACATAAACACAACTTTCAAAGTTTTTTTCCCCTATCTATATTCTGAATGATATAGATATATTCAGAGGGTTTTGCAATCTGTACATTTATGAAACTTAATGCATATTTTGCATATTTAAATATAACATTTAAGAAAACTTGTAATACAAAATAATTGTTTTAATGTACTGTGAATACTCAACTGGTGAAAGTATGGTGATATGCATTAGTTAAAAATGTTGCCATTTTGACCTATAGTGTCTTGCCTTAAATTATAAAATACTACATATACTGTTCAAAATGAAGACAAAGTATCTACGGTTGTCAAACTAAATGTCCATGGTTTATGTGATTACTCTGCTAGGACACATATTTCGCAGACCAGCAGGTTTTACGAAAAGAAATGAAAGTTTCATTTGTTTGCAGTGTCCAAATACTTTTCAGGGCCACTGAATTGATCTATTCTGAGCCAATGAAGTCAGATGTCAGAGACACAGCAGCTGTACAGACTCTTTACATAACAATTCAGATGCATCTGTGACTCACTGACTCAGCAGTGATGACCAATGCCAGGCAAACCTGCTAGCATGAGTCTTTGTCTCTGTAGAGAGAAATAAAGGATCGTTCATCTGGCAGCAGCCCACACCGCCTGCTCAGCTTGCGTTTCCCGTTCCTGCTACCTATCGACTCCATCCAAGAGAGCATGAAATCTAATCACACTCCGCACACGCCTCCGCCAACGCTGGAGAAAAAGCACCCGCTCGCCTCCGACGCTGGCCTGCCGCTCAGAAGCACTCTCTCATTCCATTAAAGTCAAAGACTCCATCAGAGCGCTGCCTGTGTTCACACGTTACAGTGCGCGGAGTCAGGAGCTGCTGCCATCTCTTTATGACTGATAAAATCCATGAAAATAAAAGAGCTCAAAGTAATAAAACTGTAGTGAATAGCTACGGGAGTGGGGAAGTGGAGAGATGCGACGCTTGATGAGCTGGGGGTGTGACTGGAAGGAGAATAGGAAGAGGAAATTAGAGAACCCACGTATAGTGTGATGTGCAAAAGAGAGTAGCATCTGGAAAGCACTGCACTATTTCAAAAGCCTTTATGTGTGCACAAACATCTGATATGCTTTAAGAGCGCCTATACATGCGGTCTAAATCAGCGGTTTTCATTTGGTGATGGGTTTTGGGTCTATTTTGATAGGCTCACGAATAGTAAGGAAAAATGAAGCTAAATGCAATAATAAAAAAAAGAATGCAGAGATATGAAAAGGATGAATGGGCTGAGAGTCTAATCTAACTAGTATTTTTGCGCAAATTCATGTAACTTGGTGGAAGGTAGATAAATTAGGCAGATATCAATATGGACAGGTTGAAATATGACATTCCTATATTCACAAAGACTTTTTTAAAGTTAAAGATGCAACGTACTTATAAATGTAGCGACAGATATTTTCTTCAATATTGTAACACATTAGAGTGTAACTGATTATTGAAAAAAAAGTAAGGCGGAGACTTGGTTCTATCTATCGATTGCTGTTGATTGGATCGAGGCAGATTTGAATGCGGGCTTGCAATCAATTTTAACAAGTGGCAGGATTTATGCAGATGAAATGATTGGAGAAGTCTGACATAAGTCACCAGAAAGAAGTCTTTTGTTTCTCTTAAGGATCAAGATGACATTTTGATAAAAAATGACAAGATCCAAAACAATATTAAAAAGTGAATCATTCACAATAAGATCAATACTATGCATTTAGAACATAGATAAGGTGAATTCATTCCATGCTGCCTTCAAACACATTTAAATGAATATTTTTTGCTTATAAAAGAAAAAAAACATACTGCCACTTTTTGACCAATGTAAAATCTGGGTGCTGAAACGAAACCAGATGAGAACCATTGATCTGAATCCTTCCAGACATTCAAACAAATCTGTTTAATGTTTCTCTTTTTCAAAACATCTGAAGGAAAACTGCAGATGAGCAAAACCTCTATTACATTATATTGCATTAAATATGCAAATTAAACGAGATTAGATGCACTGTAGGCCACATTTACACCTGGTATTACCGGATTTTAAGTGTTCATAGCAAACACAGGTGTAAATGGGGTCCAACACATTTTGTGATCAGTTCTAAACCACATTTGGGGTTGAAATAGTTTTTCAAATGAAAAAGAAAAAAAAAATTATATCCATTGACTGCCAATTGGATGGAGGCAGATTTGAATGTGAGCTTGCAGTCACCTATAAGTGATGGACAAGGTTTAAGTAGAATAAATGATAAAATAACAATAAGCAAATAAAATGTTCATACATTTGGGATGAGAATAAAAGTATGCAGTCATGAATAGTAACCTTTAAAAAATTCAGGTCTCAATAGCAGATCTAAACAGTTCTGAAACAGATCTCCTGAGATGGATGCTAACATCAAGTGTAAATAGAAATAAATACACATTTAACAGACAGAATGCAAATGTATTGATATATTGTTGATTCATTGTGATTCACTTGATTAGTCAAGCATATCATGCAAGTAATTTGATCAATTTTTAATCAACAGCCACATCGACGGAAAGAGAGAGAAAAATGTTGGTTGTCTGAACACAGTGCTAGAGACTGCTGCCGGTATGGAAGGGTGAGAAGAGATGCTGGGGCCTTGAGCAAAAACACATCAATAAGATGCATGTCTCAATCTCAACACCATCATCTCCAGCCTCTCTTCATCAGCACTGACCCCTACTGCCCCCCAGCTGAAGACGTACATCTAAACACTCTAACCTCCTTGCCTAGGACACACACATTTGCGGAAATTTATATATTCTAACCCACTCTCTGTCTCTCTCACTCATCATAACGGACAACTTGGTAGCAGATCGAGATTGAGAAATATTGAATAAGAGAGAGAGAGAGAGAGAGAGAGAGAGAGAGAGAGTGATAAAAACAAGACAGAGCGACAAAGGAAAGCTCCTGGGCAGCAAATAGAAACTTTCATTTCCCAGAAAGTAATATAACATCAGTTGTGTTTGGTCATCTCAAGGGCTCGAGTTGCCGGCCTGATCAATAGTGCCAGGACTGAAAGCAGTGTGCTTCCCTGAACCTTCATCCAGACAGTAATAGCAGTCAGTGTGTTCCACTCTCTGAGCCTTAACACAGACTTTAAAACATGTCGCTTTGGTGTACAGCAACACATTGTCTTGGAACTGTTCTCTGACTACTTGCTGGACTAGTAAAAAATAAAGAGAGAGAGAGAAAAGCAAGATACTATTTTCTCTAGATAAATGGGAAAAAACTACAGTTACAGTTTTAGTTACATTAAAAAAAACTAAGACGAATGATTTTAAATGCGACAAGTGAATTTAAGCATCTCAGCATTTCAATAAACAGCAAAATTGATATTCATTTTAAGGTTTGCTATAATTACATATTATGTTTTTTGAAGACTACTTTAGTGCGCACTGAATGACATGCATCAACATGAGCATGCACAATTAAACGCAAGATACTATTTTCTCGAGATAAATGGGAAAAAAACTACAGTTACAGTTTTAGTTACATTAAAAACTAAGACGAATGATTTTAAATGCGACAAGTGAATTTAAGCATCACAGCATTTCAATAAACAGCAAAATTGATATTCATTTTAAGGTTTGCTATAATTACATATTATGTTTTTTGAAGACTACTTTAGTGAGCACTGAATGACATGCATCAACATGAGCATGCACAATTAAACACTTTTTATTTATTTATTTTTTAAAGATTTATTTTTGCGTTTATTATGATAGGACAGTATAGAGAAGACAGGAAGTGAAAAGTGTGTGTGTGTGTGTTTGGGGGGGGTTGGGAAAGGTCGTTAAGCCGAGATTCGAACTCGGGACGCCCTTAGCACAGCGTTACTGCCCACAAGGGTCTCGGCATCAACATTACAAAAAAAAAAGAAAAAAGAAAAAAACATTTCTAATATCTAACAACCGATCATATACAGTACACTGCCATTAAAAAGTTTGGGGTTATTAAGATTTTTTTTGAAAGAAATTAATAATTTTATTCACAAAGGATGCATTTAATTAATCAATGGTGAGTAATGGCTCCTTTCCATCACAGGAATAATTTACATTTTAAAATATATTAAATTAGAAAATTAATTTTCAATTTAAATATGTCACAATATTACTGCTCAAAATGTTTTTTATCAAATAAATGTAACCTTAATGAGCATAAGTGACTTCTTTCAAAAACATAAAAAAAAAACTTTTACATTTAATAATATATATATTTTTACATTTTTACTATTTTTGCTGCAGCATCCCCAGCACCCTTACTTCCCGCGCTCCAGTTTATAATTATATATTAATAGGAAAACAAGCCAAATATCATGTTGAATTCATCAATGGCATCAGCTACCGTCAATATCACTGTATTGATTTGTGTGTAAAATCCCATCTGATTAGTCAATGACACATGTTAAGTGCAAAAATTCTGCTTCCATTCCACTACCTCCCACCAATTAAAATAGTTTTTGGTGTAAAATGGCATTGAAGTCTTTGGGTTCCAGCCTATCTTAGACATTTCAGATTCCCTGATCGGCAACGAGATGAGTAATCAATTATTCATGTCTTACCAAGGCCTAACAGGTCGATGGCGGGCTCCGCACTCTTCTTAGGACTGATTCTGGAATCTGTCTGGTTGTCCTCTCTTTTCTGGGATGAAGGGAGACAAAAAAGAAAGAAAGGAGAGAGTGTTCGTGAAAAGCATTTTTGGGATCACAATTCTGAATGCGAGCATCAGCGTAATAGGCCACCAGTTGTTGTTCTGATTCGAATGTTGTTCTTCACAAAAATAGCCTTCAGATGCTATGAATACACAGCTTCTGTGTTTTATCTTTGCTAGTCAGGCACTTTGACGACTCTGAACATCCTGCGCTGCAAATTGTATGAATAGATAATGCAACACGGTGCCGAAATAGCTCGCTCGCTCTATGTGTTCACAGCCTGACTGATGCCCGACTGCACCTCACAGGTGTTGACTGACCATGCCACTTTGGAGATGCAGTTCAAAGGCGCTCTTGAGGCCTGTGATTTGTGACGGGCAGAAAGAAGCATCTCGGGCTGAGAAGACGAACCGTAATCCGGTCTCAACAGCCGATCAATGGGCTCTGGGTTAAAGCCTGGATCAAAGCCAGACGGAGGCCTTTTAAAACCTCATTCTACACACAAACACACAAGCAAACTCAAGACAGCACTGGGTTGCGTTTTTCCCAAAAAGACTGGGAAGACAAAAGGTAACAAAAGGGCAAAACGCGTCGGAACAAACACAAACACAAACCCAGCCAGACTGTACTGTCGAATCTGAATACAACCACCAGTGTCTGACATCTGTCTTATTAGCACAATAAAAGAGAATGATAAATGTGAATTTGTCTGGATGTGTCACTTAACGTCATCACTGCGCAATTGTTCTTGGCAAAAGATTGGATTTGAGCGATTGAAAAGCGGGACAGAACTGACACAAGCACTCTAATGAGCATCTGCAGGCAGGGTTTGTGGTGAAGTGTCAAGCCAGGTGCATCGTGGGTAGAGGATTAAATGGGGAAAAAGAAATTTGCTGCAAAAAATAATGTGTTTTTCGAACAACCTAGTATGAGAGCCTGTACTAGAACACCCCCAAAACAAAATCAAGACTTTGTAAAAGAGCATAAGAGGACCCCTTTAAACTGTGGAAGGGTGATTATCAAGGAGATAGACATGTAAAAGACTCAACACAACATTCAGAAATATAGTGAAATGGAAGAAAAATAAATATAAATAAATAAAATAAAAAGGAAATAAATGCACAAAATAATAAGCAGAACAAAATAATTAATGTCAAGTCAAATAAAGTAAAAATACAAAACATAAAAGTAAAATTCTAAATAAAGTAAAAATAAAACAATACAATTTATATATATACAAAAATAATAATAAAATAAAATATTTAAAGATAGCCAAAAGATAGATTGGGTTAAAAAAAAAAGCATTTACCATAACCATTGTTTCCGCCGTAAGACCAGTTACTGATACTGTACATTAAAACTGGCAACTTTGTATTAAGCACTACTGAAACCACTTTAAAATGAATGAAATCCTTAATAATTTATTAATTAATTAATTAATATTAATTTTATATATTTTTACACTAATTATAATTATTAATTATTAACAGACCTAGCTATTATCACTAACTATTAAAAGAAACAATGGTTTAAATGGTACAATATTGTAAAGGATCCAACAGAACGGACAAGGCACAAAACAATACAGCACAGCATACTGTAAACAAACAAAAAATACCTACATGGCGTTTTCTTGTCTGTGAAATAAAAAAAATAAAAAACATTAATTAAACTCAAGATTACAAATGATTAGAAGATAAAATAAAAAAAGAAATGTGGAGAGAAGGGTATCTGGTATCTTGAGGAGGAAAGGAAGAGATGTTTTGCTCTCCTTCTGCAGCACAGAAATAATAATAGTGGAAGGAAATGCTCTGCTGAAAGCACAGTGTGTTCTTGAGCTTATGAGTGGGCACATGCCACTTCCTGTAGCACAGTTCCTTTACACACTCACAGACCAGGACAAAGCCCTCACTCCACAGAGGCATTCATTATTAGTGAAACCATAACGTGAAAAAGAAAGACAAGTGCGAAAAACGACCAGAAGTGCTCTGAAGGCTAGTCAGACCAGTTCCCATTGGCACACTCAATAACAAATAATGAGGCTACCTACTGATATAATCCAAACCTATTTTATATTTTACAACGATTAGTGCCACACTTCTAATCTGACTGACTGAGCAGCGTTATGGGCTTTAGTCGCCAAAAACTAAAGGTGGATGTAATAAATTAAACCCTGGTTACAGAACATGATAAGCAGTCAAACTCATTCAGTTTCCAGTAATTAAAGCAGCACAAACCCCAGCCAGCGGTTAATGGAAGCGTGGCAGCATCTGCCAGTGGATGCACAGAATGAAGAGACTCAGGCCTGTGCCATGGGGGGAGAAAACAAGACTCGGTTATCATTTAATATGCTTATCATTAATTATAGTTCATCACTGTGCTTATCAGGGATCTAAACTGGGGTGGCCTGAGGAGTCTTCGGCTCGTAATCAGCACAGGCACTTACATCACTGATTACTTTATTCAAATTCCACTTTAATCAGCTGTTAATCCACACGCTCCGGTCCGGACTTCCTGCGGCACAAGGGCAGCAGCGCTGGAGCTCCATGCAGCTGAAGCTCGAAAACTTGGAGATACAGGACGAATGACAGACGGATGGTCAGGCCAAGACTGAACTTGGGGACATTTTTTGTTTTTTCTGCATAGATTTTTCAGAACATGGTTTCTCAGAACACGGTTGCATGTTTTAAACATCCGAACTGTATACTCTTATTTGGCGCTGAGAGCAATGTCAGTTTTTACACTAAAAGAACAAACAAATAGTAAAAAAATAAAATAATGTAAACTTACCAAAATATGTCTTAGTTTTTGCATCACATCTTTTTCATTCATTGTGATTAATATAAAATAACATTTAAAATATCATTTTTTAAAAATTATTATTAGCTGTTTAACACTAACTAAAAGACACTCAAGTGGGTCAGACCACAGCATACTATGACTGGATTATTTGAATAAATTCTTTGTATTTTTCTAAAAATACTGTCACAGTCTACTGCTAATATCTTGCTGTGTTATTTTTTTCTCGTCATATAATGCCATTCAAAAATTTGGGGTCAGCAAGATTTTTTAAAATTAAAATAATTAATATAATATATTAACACAAAGTTATTTTTATTTTTAAATTAATTTTCTAATTAAAATATATATTTTTATTTTTTATTTATTCTAAATTGCAGTATTATTTCACAACATTGCTGTTTTTTACTGTATTTTCAATCAAACAAACAACCTTGGTGAGCATGAGAGACAAAAAATCTTACTGACCCCAAACCTTTCACAGTAGTGTATTTTTGTCACAAAATGTTTAAACTAAATTATCAAAAAATGTTGTCTTGTCTTCATTAACATTGACAAAGGTGTTTGTTTGTCAGCAACGACAAAGACACAATAAAAAGGCAAATTCTAATAATAATTATCAGATTTTAATTCAAAATATAATGTTGACAAAAACAAAAAGGACTGGAAAATATGACATAACACTACAAAATAGAAACAAATATTATAGAACTACATAAAAAAAATTTATCTGTAGTTTCGTTAACTAAATTAACACTGGCTAAAAAAATCAGAATGAGACTGGTCAAAATATTGAATAAATGAATCTGTAAGAGGCAGGGAATGTGTAAAATTTTGTGAATGACTAGCATTACAATTCAGAGTAAATCTGTGGGCCTGCTGATGGCCTGAAGCGATGGATAAGAGATAAAGGGAAAAAGATAAAGAAAACAGAGCTTGTTTATGTGCTGCAAGCCCATGCAATGTATTGCATATGTATGGATGTGTAAGCGTGCGTTTTCAAACATTTCACAGTAAACATGGCCACTGTAATCTGTATTATGTATGTGTTGGGTAGTGGGCATTTTTCAGTCGTAAGCCTTTGTTAGCATTAGAGAGGACGGACAGGCATGAAAATTCAACAGATCAACAATAGTTGTGTGGCTAGGGAGAGATATGCTGGTGCGAGGGCTCACTTCTGTGAATGATGTACTGCAGGGGGGTTCTAGGCATAGCTTCTAGCCCGTCACAAACTGTCAACGCACATCACACTGAAGAGAATCCACCGCACTGATACTTCCACGCTTGCCTGTCTACATACACACACATACACTGTGTTCCTCTCTAGACACTGTGCTTTTGTGAAAGCTACGGAAACCAACGTCGAGGGGTCAAAATCCTCAGTTGCCAGACAGAAACCGTTTTTTTATGGCGGCTGCACTTAATTCTTTTGACAGTCGGGCAAAAGCGTAGCAGGAAGAGGAAGGTGGTGGCAAAAAAGTAACGATGCACAAACATTCAGTGCTATGATGGAGAAAAGCAGTGGAACAAAATATATCTTTCCCTGTATTAAAAAGTGTGAAATTGCAGCAGATGTTGCATTAATCATAAGTTTTCTGCCATTTACTGAAGTTTAAAAACATTGACAAATAATTGCATCAGCTATTTTGACATAAAAAAATAAGACAGTCTATTGCATTTTCCTATTTTAGAAAGAAAAATACCACAGTAATGAGGCTAATAGGGACATGAACTGAAGCAAGCAGGACAAAAAAAAGTGCCCCAACAAAAATAGATGTGAGTGAGGATTTGGGGAGAGAAATGAGAGACTCTTAGTGGAATTCAGATAATGTTCAATGAATGAAAATTTGCCATTGGCTAAATCTTGTACAATACATTAATTGGAAACTTGTACATTTACTGTACATGGTCCCTTTCCAAACACACAAATAAAAGGAAAAAGCCAAGAACCTGCAACACAGCACTTGGTAAAGCTAAAATATCTAGTTAAAAGTATCTCTTTCTTGTGAAATTAACACCACAAACACAAACCACTGACTTTAGAAGAGTCTGTTTTGTCTTGTTTTTTTTCTTGTCTCGAATTTACTGGAGATGCAACACTGCATAAGATTTAGATTTCAGAGCATGTATCTTCAATAAAAAGTGTATTTTGTCTTTTCACTTGTTTTAACTTGCTTCAAACAAGTGACA